CAAACATCAAAAAATAAAAAACCAAAAAGTTGTTTTCTAATAGCGGTCGCCCATCGGCAGGCAATGGCAAACCTCCGAGTGTGCTTCTACCATGAAAAACAGCTTTTAAATAATAATACAATCGCCGTTGGGAGTCGCCACAAATCGGAGGAGAAGCTCAGCCAAACACTAACATATGTGTAAGCGCCAATCTATGTATGGATTTTTATATAGCGTTGGTCCTTTAAACCGTTATTCTCCATACGAACATTATTTAAGACAAATTAGACGCATCTTTTGGCAAACAAATGCTATCGATATCCTTTGGTGCTCTGGTGAATTGTTTTTCTATCTGTCAGTAGGAACCTTGTGATGCGTTCTTCGATTTCCATAAACCCCTCGATTGTGTTTTCAGCAAATTTTTCCTTATCTCTGCTTATCAAAATCTTAAGGTGTTTAAAGGAGATGTACATCAGGGCGGGTCAATTTGTTTGGCAAGTTTTTTTTCGACTATGAAAGTGTAGCATAGAAAGATTCCACGTGCAATTCTAAGCAAGTTTGCGGAGGAAAGCATGGGTCGAATATTCATCTGAAGTTTGCCCAATGGCGAAAATAGGTTTCTGAGCATTTTCGTAAAGTAGTGCTGAAATTTTTTATTTATTTTTATTTATTATTTATGAGTAATCCATTTCTGCACTTATCTTTTTCTTAAAACTTCCACCAGAGTGCGTAACAGTGAATATTTTCACATTTTCTTTGACATCCTTTTCGCAATTTGGCAAGTCCAAATTGATTTTAGGCCCATGGGTTCTTCGAGTAATTTGCTTAGAATCACACGTAGAATTCCCATATTATATACGCGCATAGTCAAACAAAAATTACCTGCCATAATTTACATATCTCCTAAATGTGATTTTGTAAACATAATATAGTGACCTGAATTATAAAGAATGACTAGTCCTGAAAAGAATTTTTGCTCGTTACCTAGCACTACTATTTAAGTTTCAGTAGGTTTTGCCTTTAGAACACAATATTTTAACCAGAGTACTAGCGAAGCTATGCAACCGCAATTAATTTTTGTCCATTTCCTCTACTGCTGCATTTATATCTTATAGGAGTGGGTAGAAATGATAAGAATTTCTGAGTCCGATAGAACGGTAGAGAGTCTGACGAGGGTTTCCAGAATGCTCTGCGCGGTTTTCAAGAGGACGAAAATTTGTATGACCCTAAGATCCTTCTTAATTTGCAACCGTTTCGTTCTTGATTGGGAACCAATCCACTCTCTAGCTTTCTCGTGTCTCCCAGAATTTGTAAAAGAGGTGTGCAGACTAATTAAAAGAGGAAAGTGCACGGACAACTGGGACTAGTATTCACTAGAAAATCCAAGCAGCAGTAGCAGCTTCATGATCAGTTGTGAGAGTATCTCATCAACCCTGCAACTGCTAAGTTTTATAAAGTTTGTGCGAAGCTCAGCACAGCGGCAGTACTAAATTCATAATAAAAAGCAGTGCTCTGTGGGTTAATATCATCCCACTTCACAGGTGCCGTTCCGGTCTCGAGGTATGCTGTGTTTCGTGTAGTCAGATTAACGCGGCGATTAGTACGGTGGGCGCTGAAATGACTCCCGTGTTGGATGACATCATGATGTCCAGCGCTAAAGCAGAATGGAAAGTTCCTACTTCCACCTGGCTCATAATCTGGAGGCATGGCAAAGGGCTCGGGTTATCCTTATTTCGAAGGTGGGTAAAGGGGGGAGAAAACTACCGACCATGAAATCAGGTCTTGCACTCTGAACGAGGCATATTTTCATCTAGATAAGCATGCGTACTGGTTGGGCAGACCCACAGACACAGCGCAGTAAAAGTCGCTTTTTCGTTCAACAGTTTTACCTCAGAAATTTTCTGACTTTAGCGCCCTCTGCTGCTAACAAAAAGAGGATTTGATAAATTAATCTTCCAAATCTGTTAGCTATGCAAAAATTTGTATTACTTAAATATTCTAAGCCGTTTATTTGATTTTAATTTTGCTTATGGGACAAGCCACTGTGCGGCGCCATTTTCCCTGACTACAGAAATAAAAAGTTCCTTTGAATGTGAAAAGACAGTGCTCAGTGCCTTCCCTGAGATCGAGGTGGCTTTCGACAACACATCTCATTTGGACCTTGATCGGGCTCTTGATAATTGCCTACCTCTGTTCCCCAGGGACGATATACATTTAAACTAAATATGCAAATAAGGTGACTTGGAGTACCTCTATTATGGAAAAGCACATTCAGGCAAGTGCACTGCAATGGCACACAGACAGCCCCTGTAGATATTAGTGCAGGCGTATGTGGGCCTAATCTCAAGCTGCCAGTGCCCGTGGAAATCTTCTCAAGCATATTTCAAGTGGAAGTTGATGCCGTTGGTCTATCGACGTAATAGGATTTTTATTTTAATCGCCACTTTTGGCTGTCTCATCATTCGGGGAGTAATCCTCATTGCGCTCCTGCGCGCATAGAAAAGCTGAATGCCTTTGCTGAGAACAATGCTATTAAACTTATGTATATGAGTACCAGAACACAACGGAAGCAAATGAAATGAGCAAGTCGATTAGTTAACCGGCATGGCTGCTAACTCAACCCCGATAAGATCTGAGCCCTTGCTTGCAATAGGTCCTAATGAGATAAAGATTGGAATAGAGTCGTAAGAGGCCACTTGCATAAACACGAGATCTGGTTAAGTGATCTATGTCGCTTTTATTGCTCCGCCGAAGAGACATCATTGCACCTCCTCCTGGAGTGCAGGGTCGTGAAATTTTGGTTCTATGCACAATATCATTCACATTGTCATTCTTAATTTAATGCTTTAGGGCTCTAAAAGCTGCCGCAATAAAGAATTTATATATGTTTCTGTGTTTTCATTTAACTTTTATTTTATTGATTTTATTATCAATTTTTATTTAATATATTTCATTCGCATACTTAATATACATAGTAATATTCATTTTCATACTTAATATACATAGTAATATTTGTAGCAACGAAGGAGCGGTAAACATAATACGTACTTTCACAAGTATTTAAATGTGTAAGTAATATCAGTGTTGGAATGAACATATGTATACACAATTAAAGTGCACGCAGATACATACATATATACAAACATAAAGTAGTAGCCGTATAAAAGTTACTAAGGTATGTACCTTTAATTCTTCATCACCAGACTTCGTCTAGCCCTAATGAAATCCTAAAGTTTCAGGCAAGGTATCCTCTTGTTATATTCATAGTCTCTGGCCAGTGGAAGGTGCAGTGGGGTTTCTGCCGCCCTTTCGCGCAGTAAAGTCGGCAGCTGTCTAAGCTCCACAACCAGCAATGATCCATCAGATTTCCTGTTACATGTATGTTTTAAAGCTTCTCTTCCTAAATATCTTGGAATTGTAAGCTCTAATAGGTTGAGGTTTTCCCAATAGGCTCGTCTACGCAAGCACTTCTCTGCACTTCAGGCTTTACTGACAGTATGTTTGTATGCGGTTTCTATAGTGAGGATGAGTTTGTGTAGCTGTTTTTGTTGTTGTAGCGGCTACAACAACCCCGCCCAGATCGGTTAGTTCCTCAATCGTTGTCGTCGAGCTCTACTAGCGGTAGCCCCAGGAAGCGTGCAGCCTCGACGGGGTCTGTGCATAGGGACAGGGGCGTTAGTAGGGTGGAATTCAGAGGCGTACGAAGAGATGCTGGAGCGACTCTCCGCATGCCAGGCATTCGTTTAGAACATCCTCGTTTAGCCTGCTCAGGTACGAGTTCAACCTGCTGCACTAACCAGTTGGGCTATTGTGGTCCGAGTCCCCCGAGGCAAACGAAGTTCTGTCACGTCCACGTCTAGTGGTTGTGTGCCCAGAACGGCATTCACAGGTCGAGAGTCTACATAACTCGAGACTGCCTCTCGGTGAATGCCGTTCAAGGCCTGTCGATAAGTCGTCGGGTCAAAAGTTTGAGTAGCTGCTACTTCCCGCTTAAGTTCCTCGTTACCCTCTGTACCTTCATCGTGTTGGTACCAAATCAGTTGTGCTGTGCTGTTTTCCCCTATGGCGTTCCATTTCTTAAGGATTCCCATTCCATGCGTGATACAATTTCATTTGAAGATAGAACTTTTTAAGCAACTTAACTGTTAATGCGTTGGGCTTTCCTCTCATACATACACATACATATATGCAGGTCTCTACAGATTTTAATCGGCACAAAAACTGATGGCATAAGTCTCCGCTTAGAAGATGCTGGTGTATCGTCCCATGGGGTTGTAGATCGTGGCCATAGTGCCTTACATTCCGGCCGCTATACCTCCGTTAGTTTTTGAACCAGCTGTGTGTCATATTTGGGTGCGGTCCTGATAAGGTATTTCCTAGAATTATTTAGTTTTGGCCGCTTCCTTGCTTAATGCGGTATTGAACCTTTTCTCAAAAATTGTTCTCTCAATGATGTCATCTCTGTTGAACGGTGAGATGGGAATCTTTATTTTGATTTCCTTCCTAGCCTTTAAAATCTTGAGATCTACCTCTAGCTGTGTCTTTTCTAGTGAATTTTAAAAGGGCCTTGTTTGCAGTCTATTATTTTATGACGATTTGCTTTGGGGTTAGGTTGAGGATGCGTTCGGACGAAACGGTTCGGTACAATTTCATGAGGCTTCCCTCCCATAGTTTTGGTCAGGATGGATGGATTATGACATCTTGGTTGTAGTGAATTTGCATGGGTTAGCGTGCGTTTAAACATGGAACCCTTTTAAAGCGCAGTTAGTCAACGACGTAGTGTAAACGTAGGTTGACGTACGTAGCAGCATATCAAATTTACTGTTGATAGAGAGAGAGAGAAGCAATGGCAACGTCACCGCCATGCAGTGGTGAGTTTTCGTTAATACGCGAATCCCATAAGGTAGATCGTGTCTGCTTTAACCTACGTCTACGTTACGTCGTTGACTGTTTGAGCTTTTAGATGCGCTGTTTCCTTGGGGGTTGACCGCAATATTGAAAATGACTTTGTGCCAAAACAAAAATACAAAATAATAATAATTAAATCCTTAAGCACTTAGTTTCTGCTCTAAACAACCTTTCAGTTGATCGAAAATCGCATAAAATTGTATCCAATTTAGGACTGTTATTCGATTTAGGACTGTGGTCTATTAAAAAAATTTAGAGTAAAAATAATTATAGTTTAGAAGGGGAGTTTTATTATTCTATTATACTGCCCATTCACACTTATCGAATTGCGGCTGTTTTAAGGGTCCGTGAATTTAAATATTTAGTAAAAACAAGTTAACATTTTGGCCACTACAGTATGGGAATGTACGTATGTATGTCCGTATATTTGTATGAACATATGTATGTACCCAGTAGCGAAAATGGTCACCGGTGACATCGTCACAAATGAGAATTTAGTGACATCGTCGCACTTGCTGTGAATCCTAAACGATACATAGCTGACAATGATATTGGTGACTATGTCATGCAGGTGTACTTCTATCAAAGACTTAAGTATAACAGACAATGTCTTGCAGCGGTGACTTATAAAAAGTCCATTGCAGGATAATGTCGTTTGAATGATCACTGCATGACAAAGTCAACGACTTCCATATAAACAGAGCCCAAAGTCATTTAAGACGTAACTTGGCAGTACAAGACACTTAAGAGACCAATTAATGCCATTCGCTACGGGGTATGTAACTAATTATTATGAGAATACATATGTAATAGCTATCAGGCTGTCTATGTATATAGTACTTTTGTATGTTTGTACGTACGTACTTGCACGAATCCCTATTCAAATATGTATGCATTTATGCATTTATAACTACCATAGTTAAACGTAATGGGGTGTGGTTGGGTGGAATTAACTGTATGTGTGTGCGCGCTAACAAAAAAACTCTAACAAAAGATACGCTTTTTCAGCTGAAAATGTTTACACATAAATTATCTCCCGTATGTTTATGTCTCCGGATAGCGGCAATAGGAAGTACTCTCGACAAGCTCCCGTGGTATCCAATCCTCGTATAAGGGCAACCGATTTTTCAATGTCTCCACTTCACGTAAAATGCGCACTACATTGCCGCCAATTAGTTTCTTGATAGCCGCATTACCCCAAACGCGATCGCGTGCCAGCTCAGCTAACAGAAAAGCATAACTCTTGGGCGCACCACCCAAACCAATGTGATCGACACCGGCCACCTTGCGCACATAGTTGATGGCGTTGATAGCTTCGCGTACAGAGAACCGACGTTCTTCACAGCGTTCCAAATTCAGCATTATTACGCCACCATTGTCCGAAAGCAAGCTGGCGAAGTGGTAGTAGAGTATGCGAGTGATTAAAGTAGAAAATGCGGCCTTGCCAACCATTAAATAAAAACAAACTCACCTCAAAATGCGATCAGGTATGGAGGCTACGCTGGAGCTGTTGCAAACCGAAACTGGCACAGCATTCAAGAGCAAAACCGGCGCTTTGGCCGTGTGCAATGCAGTCACCATAGCCGCCTCTGACAATTGAGAGATTTCGATAAGCATTCCCAGTCGATTCATCTCGTAAAGCACCGTCTAAAATATGAAAATCTATTCATTAACAAAGCGCCAAGTGCTTATTTGCTTACACACCTTTCCAAACTCGTTGATCGAATGTGTGGCATTTTCCTCGAATAAATAGTCATGACTGCGTATGCAAGCAGCAGCCCAGGGTGTTGTGCATTCCAAACTAGTAATCGATACGAAGCGTGCGCCGAGCAGATACATCGATCGCAGTACTGCCAAACTGGCACCTAATGTGTGGCCACCGCCCAGACCAAGCATCACAGCTACTTCACCTCGGATATGCGTCTGTTCCATTTCGTCGGCAGAGAGCACAATGTGCAATGCGTCCGTATTAGCGGTAATGCGGCGTGCCTCATCGATACCCTCCAATGCCAACTGTACGGCATCCAAATACTGTGCGCCGCACGGCACCGAAATTGGCCAAAAAACTGCACCAACATGATTGCGACGCACTTCGTTTAACATACCACTGCTGCTGCTGCTGCGATTCAGAACATCACGCATCGGTAGCTGCCAAGCGGAGCCTTCAATTAGCGGCGATTCAGCCAACAAACGACGTATGAATGCAAGCCGCGCTTCTAGCAGCGACGAGGAACGCAACTGCAGCGCCAATGGTATGCCACCTGCCATGGCTATGCACACCAACATTATGCCGAGCACAACTATCAGCCGACGACTGCGCGTCGAACGGCTGGGCTCACTACCCGTATCACTACACGCGCTCATTTTATATGCGGCAGCGGCGATGGCGCCATTCTTTAGCTTCTCACTGCCAAGCTTTGTAATCTCTGGCGGTAGTTCAATGTCCGCGATTTCTGTGAAAACAAAACATTGCTGCTTGCAGTGTGGCTGGTGCTCGTGTTGAGGTGGCTGCAGCTCGTGCGGGTGTGGGAGTGGTGCGGGCGGTGGCGGCGGTGGAGGTGCAGGGTTTAGTAAAGGATTGAGTGCGAGTTGCTGATGGTGCTGATGATGCTGATGCTGGTGCTGATGTTGGGGATACTGATGATGGTGTATGGCAGCGGCACACACCTCTATATATTCACGATTTGGCACTGGATTCATGCTGCTGCCATAGAGCTTGGCTAAACAATAGCAATTAAATGAGTTTACACGGCTGTAAGGGGGTTTGCGTTCAGTTGCACACCTTCTTTATTTGATTGTGGACGTTGTGATTTTAATTTCCTATAAAATTTAATCGATTATTTACCAACAAGTGAATTAATCCTGAAGCACTCACCTACACTTTTCAACATTGGGAAAAAGCTTTATTGATTTTTCATTTGACAGTTTTACGGCTCCTGCGCAGTAGTTGGACGCGTAAATTATTTGCAACAGGACGAATGCAGCTTTTAGTCAGCTGGTATGTGAACGTTCGGTTACAACTTTGCAAGCCAAGTTGAAGATGCCTTTCCTCGTATGTACGTACATAGACTTTTATTTCCAACATCTTTACTCAGAGCAAGTGCTTAATTATTAAACTTTAATATTTAACCATCTAATTTAATAATTTAATTATTAAACTTTAATATGAGAAAAATGGCGTGTCAAGATGAAAGTGAAAAAGTAATTGAAAATAAGTTGGTTCGATTGCCGTCCCTAGCCATTTATTTCCACCAGATGAAAATAAACTGGCAATTTGATTTTTTATTTAAAACTCACTGCAGATGCAACGGTTAAAAAGTTGTTCCGTTTCGTTTCCATGCCATCCCTCAAGATTTTTCAACAAAAACCCAACTCCACTGTGAACTGCTTGTCGCCGAAAGAAGAAGCATATATCAGCAGCTGTTGTAAACAAATTATGGCACGTGCGTATTCCTGGTCAATTGTATTTATTTGTTGAATAGCGAAGTAATGCCCGATATTGAGGGCTATAAAGGTAAACTATACAAGTATATATACTCTTTATGTTTTATCTAAACTTAGCAATATTTTAGTGATACCCTTGCGGCTCACAGCCGATCGAGCTTTGGAACTTTGCCACCAGATTTTCATGCGCGAGCACTTCATACGCCTTGAAGATGCGAGTAAACCGAAGGGACGCACACTTTTCCTACTCAACGTGCCACCTTACGTATCGGAACAAAGCTTGGGCCGCTTCTTCCGCAAGAGTGTTGATGTACTAAATAAAGTAAGCTTCGCTGAACGTCCAGGTCGAAACGAAAGCGAAAAATGGCAGAAATATAACATCCCATTCAGCAGTTCAGCTGTGCCTTTTAAATTTAAAGTGGCTTACGTTGTCTTTCAAAAAAGTACGGGCGTGCAACGTTCTCTACAATTGAGTAGCATTGATTTGTTTAACAGCGATGGCGACTGTGTACTAGAATCGGGTATGCAGTTGTGGCACAGTCAGTATGAGGAGCGTATATTGGATGAAACAGAGGCACAAGCACGCATTGACAAGTTTATGGAAGCGTATGATAAACGCGAGAAGAAAGCGCTGGAGGCGGCTAAAAACTCCGAAGCCGATGCGGACGGTTGGGTGACTGTTGGCAAACAAGGCCGTAATGCCGGATTTGAACAGAAAGAATCTGTGGTTGGTCGCTTAGAAGAAAAGATAGTTCGCGGCAAGAAAAAGAAGGAATTAGATAATTTCTATACGTTTCAAATACGCGAGTCGAAAATGAAAAATATAGTAGAATTGCGTAAAAAGTTCGAAGAAGACAAGCAAAAAATTGAAGCGCTTAAAAAGACCAGGCGTTTTAGACCCTTTTAAAGTTGGTAGTTTTTAATAAATGAAGCTATACATTCTTATAAACATTTTTATTTGTGAAAACTATAATTTACATACATAATTATAGCATAGTCTTATAACTATTACTCAGACGGGTTTGTTTGATTTTATTACCATTGACATAAGCGAATGAGGCGGCAACGTTTCAAGTATACACAATAATTGCGGTATATTTCCGTACATACAATTGGCTGATTTGGCTACCTGCACAGCTTGCGCAAGTCGCTCCATACTTTTTTGATAGGCTACGTCTTTTGTAGGATCTGTTTTATCAGCCAGCAAACGAGATACATAATTTTTCAATGGTCCTACAGTTTGTGCTAAATGTTGGGCATTCAATGCTGTAGGTGGACCAGTGTTGACTATCTGCAACATCGTTTGCAACAGCCACAGATGTAAATTACTGTAAGAGGAACGATTCGAGAATAAGGGTGCTAGAACCGACCAACGTATAAGCCCAGCCAAAGGTGTAACAACAGGCATGGCAATAGCACCACTTGGCAATGCTAAAGGCTGTTGAGATGCCAGACACAAGGATGAATTTTCACTTATCCATTCCGTGAAAACATCTAATAACGCATCTGGTGGTGGCGTAATTGCGCCTAATTGCTCATTCATATATAAATCTGCCACGGCAGTCATTAGATTAGCTGCGAAATGTGGGGCAACCATAGGAAGCTGCTTAAATTTCTCAGAGGTTTTGCGTGAAAATGTTATAAAATCACTAACTAAACTCTGTGCTACTTCCAAACTTGGTTGATTCGTGCAACCGACTTGTTGCATCCATGTTCCTGCTGATGAGAGTAGAGGTGCAACCGAACCTGAAACAGCAGTGCTTACCAATCGGCAGAGTATTTTGGATCTTTGCGGTGTAAGATTACTACCAAACAGTGATAGAAATACTACGTTTCTTGTAGCATCTGGCCCAGGCTGCGAAAAAAACTCAATAAGAACGAGTATGAGTTGAAACTCTTGAAATGAGTTCATTTGGACGCTGGAGAATGGTTGACCTTTGCGGATGTCTAGGGCGTCTTTGGGCCGCTCCATAAATACAAACTCGGAGATAAGTTGAATGGCAAAGTTCTGTTTGCTGCGGCTCACGACGATGCTTTCTGAAATTTAACAAACGTCCGAATTTTATATTTTCCGTATTTTTATGGGCACAATTTTTACCTATACGGGGAAGGGCTTCCTTGGCGCAAGCCGGAAAATCCAGCTTCCGTAAACTATGTTTAAAATCTGCTTGCGACATTTTTTTCTCCAACAAAATCAAAAAATGTAAACAAATAGATATGATAAAAACCAGCTGTTGCTGTCAGTGGTACTATCGATAGTCTGGAACTATCATGAGGCATCGATAGTTTTTCGTAGCTATCGATACTATCGAAATTTTAGGTTTTTTCCATATATGCGTTCTTTGATATATGTAATACTTCTATATTGATAGTAAGCTAACATCTCAATGTGTAAGCATACCGAAATCAAAGCGAGACAGTCTAGTACTGTTTTTGTCAATGTGTTGTGTACTTGAGTGCCGGTTTTGTAAATGTGTCGTGTACATGTTTATTTATAAACGTATGTGTTCCTTTTCTTTCGTACGTGTTTATTGATATATCTGTACTGTATTGTTTTCGGACGGTACTAGCTCATACTGCCAATATAGGAGTATTACATATATGGTTTTTTCCTTTTTGTTCCTTACCTAAACCAAAGAACGTAAATGTACAAAGAACATAAATGTACATAAATACATTTACGTTCTTTGGAGGTAAGAAGCAGAGATAAGAAGCCAATTTGGCGGGTTTTTGAATCCGCTCTTGGTAGCAAAGAAAGTTTGCTATGGCAACCCTGGTGCTTCTGTGTTTCGAAAATATCAGCTCGTTTCTGTTTACTTGCAAGTCGCAATTATTTTGCGATCTGCCAGCAACATTTTGTGGCACTAATTTCGTTTGCTTTGCGAAATAGTTTTTAATAAAGTGCGAACAATCTTCTAATCGAGAGAATGAGTTCAACTGTTGTAACACAACAGCGCCCCCTTGGCTTTATTGGACTTCATACCGAATTTACGGTAAGTTTCTAAAAATCTTGATAAATGTGCGGCACTTCAATGTATTCCTTTCACAGAAAGTTCTGCAAGAAGCGTTCCAAAAACAAGACGCCCATATTTTGCGCGCTTCCTATGAATCCTTCGGAGCCAATACCGACCATGATAAAAAGTCGCCAATGGACCAAGCGTTTCGTGAAATGCTACTTTTCCGCTTAAGTGACGAGGTTGAAAAAGTGGGTGCTCTTGTGCGTCTTTCAGTTGAAGCAGTGCGTGCTGAAATTGTGTCAGTTACCATACCCGTTGTCTTGCTGGGGGACATTTTTGATGCGGTCACTTTAGATAAATGCGAACAAATCTTTAGATTCGTTGAAGAAATGGTTGAAGTGTGGAAAGAGGACATATTTTTCTCGTCATGCAAGAATAACATTCTCAGGATGTGCAACGATTTATTGCGGCGTTTATCGCGGGCACAGAATACAGTTTTTTGTGGTCGTATATTGCTATTTCTATCTAAATTCTTTCCTTTCTCTGAACGGTCTGGACTCAATATAGTTTCGGAATTCAATTTAGACAATGTTACTGAATATGGTGTCGACGGCAAAGACCTGGATGATACTGTCGAAGACACCGTTGAAGATATTCCCATCAAAATTGATTACAATTTATATTGCAAATTTTGGTCGCTTCAAGACTTTTTTCGCAATCCCAATCAGTGTTACAGCAAAGCTCAATGGAAAATGTTTCAAGCGGTGAGTATTTTATGCACTATTTCTAAATTATTTGTGCATTTGTATGTTTTGTTCGAATTCCCCAATAGCACGCTGGTACAGTGTTAGAGGCTTTTGATAGCTTCAAGCTAGAAGAGCCACGTGTAAATAGCGCAGGAGAAAAAACCGAAAATGCTTTAACGGCTGCTGATTATTTGGAAAGCATGAAAATGGATTTGGATGTTTCTGAATTTGCAGCAGAAGTGGATAATCCAAGTTGTAGTGAAGTAAATAATCAAAATGTGCGCCAGTCCGATCACTTCTTTGCCAAGTTTCTGACAAATCCAAAGCTGCTGACCCTACAATTATCTGATTCCAACTTTCGACGTTCAGTCTTAGTGCAGTTCCTGATTCTGTTCCAATATCTTCAATTGACTGTTAAATTTAAGACGTAAGTTGAAAACATAGCATCTACCAAATCCAAAATATTTGTTTCAATTTTTAATAGTGAATCAAATACATTGACCACCGCGCAAACAGATTTTATCAAGGAAACAGAAGCAAAAGTATATAAATTGCTCGAAGATACACCACCTAATGGAAAGCGTTTTTCTCGCACCGTCCGACATATGTTAACTCGCGAGGAAATGTGGAATAACTGGAAAAATGATGGATGTAAGGAGTTCCGCAAACCCGACGACGCTGAACCAGAGACTACCGCAAATAAGGACGCTGGAAGTAGTGATGTCATATCTACCAAACCACCAGCAGCCAAGCGTGCCAAGCGCACCCTAGGGGACAGTTTAAAAGATGCACACCGCAATAGCAAATTCTTTCTGGGAAAGTACGTATATATATCCCCCTTAGTTTTAAACCGAATTTTACTAAGTATTTCTCACTCTAAACTCGTAGTGATGTCTTGACACGTCTCTGGAATTATTCGCCTGACAATCTGCAGGCATGCAAAAGCGAAGAGCGCAATTTCTTACCGAATGTCGAAACATTCCTTGAAAATCCGCATGAAAAGAACGATCCCTCATTTGAATGGCGCGCACTTCGGTTGCTAGCACGCCAGTCGCCACACTTTTTCACGTTCTTAAACTCGCCGTCATACAAAATAGCTGACTACTTGGAGGGCGTACGACGCCGTTTGGCCAAGGATCGCTTAGACAACGCTAAGGCAGCTCTGAACGCCAACAACGTGACATCAGTTGGTGGCAACTCAAACACAGAATCTGTCATTGCAGGCGAATCAAATAGCGAACAGGGGTCTAATCCTCAAGAAGCAGAGGGAGAAACAGATGTTGTTGGTGTTGGTGACGGTGACAATGACGGCGACGGTGAGGGCGATGGCGATGCAATGCTAACCGAAGAAGATGTTCAAGGTGACTTGGACAAAGGCGATGATGATCGGAACGCACACACCAAACCGGTGACGGCCACCAGAGAACAAATAGAAGAAATCGCACCACTCATTGGTGACGACTGGAAGAAATTGGGCAAAAAATTGGGCTACACTGTTGATGAGCTACTCTACTTTGAGACGGAGCATCCAGATCGCGATGGTGGCTGCATCGCAATGCTGAGTAATTGGTTTGCCGATGACGATGATGCCAGTCTTGATAATTGGGCCTATATGCTTGAAGGTTTGGAAATAAATGCCGCTGCAAAGGCGGTGAAAGCGCTGATTGACCGACTTACACCGAAAGACGACAAAGTGGAGGTGCTGTCAGATTAGTGCGAAAGCTATTTAACATTAGGTATAGTTGTAAACTGAAAACGAAGATCACTTCAGTATTCAGTTTTGATTTAGTTTATGTTTTAATAATATTTCAAAAGTCAAGTTTACAATAATAATTTATCACATGTACAGGGTGTGAATATGCATTTCGCTGTCTACATTAACATTAATTCGTCATATAAAATCTCGGCGGCCAACGCAGACAATTGGCCTTTTTGTTGAAGCACCCTCAGCCAAATGGTCAACGATTCTGTCAGCAATGCACCAAAACTCCATCGTTGTTAGTTTCTATGAGATTAAATGTAGCAAAAGGCTGATTTGTTTAGTATGTTTGAGCGCACCGACTTCAATTTATCTTCGTCTCGGTGCCGTTTTACCCGGCTTCGGCTTGTTGTGTAACATAGTGGCGCAGCGCGGTATATGCCGCTCAGCTGCAGACTCGTTAAAGCGACGCAAGCAATGTGGGCACTGTATATAGTCGGGGTTCTCCGAAGGTGGTGGTGGTGGCAAATCACTTAGCTTGCCACCACGGGCTAAATGAGCCTGTACCTGCTTGGCGGCACGAATAGCTTGTATAAACTCCTCATGTTTCTTTCGCCAGTTATTCTTCTTCATACTGCCTGACATGCCACTTACAGCAGCAGCACTGGAGTATCCGGATTTATTGTTGGCGTTATTACGAGATTGTGCTTTTTTCACATACTTTTCGGCATCGGTGCCTCGTAAACGATGACGTGCCGCGTCAAAGGTCTTACGCTTGGTATGCGCCATTTTCTCGCAAATCTTCTCATGCTTCGGAAGTCTTTCCATATTGAAATGGCGATTGCAATAGCAGCACAGACCACTGTTGCCCGCGTCTATGTCAGCTTGCGTTCGGTTACCCTACGAAGATATAAAAAAAAGCAAATTATAAATTGTCATCTGGAACAGGTTATGCTCGTCGCGCTTACTGCAGTAGTAGCCATATTTCCCGAAGTGCTCCTTGGTGGAGTCTAAAAGTCAGTAAGGAAAAATATTAATCGAAAATTTTATTTTTTTAATACAATTTCAAGTCAATTGGGAAAACTCAAATCCGACGCGTGAGAATCTTTGAAAAAAAAATGCCTACCTTCGTAGTAGTTGCTGCAGTGGGTTTTGAGGTTCTGAGTGTGGAACTCTGCTTTGGTACTGGCGTTCGTCGTGCAGCAGCAGCTGTAGCAGATGTATTTACTGGTCGCTTGGAGATTGGTGCAGCTGGTAGTGGTACTGGCGAAGGTGATTTTTTTGTCACAACTGGATTTAGTTTTAGACTGTTTGATGATTTGGCACGGCCCAGAACCTCGTTGTCCCTATTATTATTGCGATCGTCTGGCGAGTGCAAGCCCAAGCTGAGTGAAGACATTTCCTTCGACAGCGCGTCGGCGTTGCCGTTTAGCAGCCGCCTTGGAGGATTTCGCACATTTGTGGAAACACTGTTTGCATTGGCTACGCCGCGTGGCTTAACCGACGCAATGTTGCCATTTCTTTCTTGATTTGAATTGTGTATAGCGCCACCGACTTGGCGAGGAATTGGCGCCGGTGCTTTAGACGTAGAACTGATTGGCTTCAGAGGATTCGCCCGATCGATGCCTGCGCCACGTCTTCGTTCATCGAACATTTGACGCACCTACAGCAGTTGCAGGGTAAAAGTATTAAAGTATAACAAAAAATGTGCGTACATATAGATGCATAAGAGCTGCAGAGCTGCATACTTAGCTACCTTGCCGTTTGTAATGTGCTTTGGACTCCTAATTTCATCCGTGGAGCTGGCACCTTCGTCTGTCATCTCCAGGCGTCTATGCTCACGCTCCTGTTGCTGTTTTTGTTGAAAACGCATCTGCAAAATAGATCGAAAAAAACGAGATGTCAAATTTTTATTTCATTTCCGATTTGCTACATAACTCCAGCCTTCAGTGTCAGTTTAGCAACGTTAAAATCAAATAGGAGTCATTCTGATATACTCCACCATGCGATAAAATGCTGAAACATGCTATACTTATCGATTTTGTTAAAACTAACGTCGAACGATGAGTTAAAGTCTGCTGGCGGCAGCTGACTAAGTGCCTCAACTAATCTACGTCCTGCCCATGAGTCGCTGAGCTTGACTGGCGGAATGATTGGATCATGCAAGTATTCATTATTCGGACTCATGGTCGTCATGTTTTTGGCGTTGCATCAATCAATTCGCTATCTTTATGCACATTTAGTAAGTATGCTTTTTATATACATACATACATATGTACATGCATATGTGATTTTATATAAAAAAAACTCTTAATCCAAAAGCGTTGTCATGCAATGTTCCTATGTATGTAGGTTTAAAAATTTTGCCGCTACAAAATGATCAACATGTCCTTTCGGCGACAGGCAAAATAATACTAAATATGAGGACAACGAAGTAAATCGCTGTCTCTCATTTCCGAAAGGACAAGCAAAACATTTACGCCATTGAACTCATTACTCACACTTTATTTGTTCGTCGACAAATCAAATAGCGTAGTACCCCCACCCACCCAGCGAATGACCAGTGACTATAGTAATCAATCAAGTAGTAGCATGTCAAAACATCAAGTCACTCATGCATGTGGTCACACAACAAACACAGCACACATATTCAGAGTCGTTGCACTTACTTTGCTTCCAAACATGCGTTCCTTGCGCGCGCAAAGAAGACGCGCTAGCGAAATTGTCCAGCTATTCGAGTCCGTTTTGCTGACGCTGCCACCCACCACCCGATGAAAGCATACACCTACCCATACAATAATAGATATCTTTTTATAACAAAACAGAAGGCACATATGTGGAAATTGAGGGCAATTAATAGTCCAGCTCATTCACTCACAGCTTTAACGATTTATTTTCTCGTTTGGATCGCCAAATATTTTATGAGTACAATATTGTCCGCTCAAGTGCTCATCAAAGCACATAGGTACATACATACATATGTATGTTCTACATATTGGTTTTCAAGAAATTTGTTCAATACCCTGCTGCAATCACTTGATGTACTTGATGTGCGCTCTGAAGTATCTCGACCTTATGCCAATCGATAAAAGGCTTTGTGTCGATTTGAAGAAAGCTATTTAGCGTATGAAAATTAGAAATCTAAACACAATCACCATATCCTTCCACATGTATGTAGGTACATATATGTATGTATGCTGGTTCTAAAGTGAATGTATTGCGCTTGTGTTTACTTAATGTGTGCTTGTTCCGGGCAACGATGTCAATTGAAAGTACATATTTACGTTGCCATGACTGGGCGGCGGTGCATATGGCCCACACTAATGAGCCGCACACTGTCATTGGCAAAATTTCGTACATACATATGTACATTTACAAATGTATGTTTATGTGTATGCTCAAGTGCATTAAAACTTGCTCTAGAATATCAAGGTATAATCAGTTATTTATTTTCTTGTTAATTTTCCAACTTAATGCATTAAGCTCCCATAGCTTAAAAATATACCATTTAATTAAAGTGAGTGTGTGTTTGCAACTCAGAAGTGGAATATATATACATACATATATATGTACATAACATTGTGTATGTTTAGCTGTGCACATCTCTGATTATTTGAAAGGGCAACTTAGTTCGTACTCGGTAATTAGCAATATTTAAGATAATCAAGCAGGTCCCGCAATTAACTTCAGAGTAAATTTCAACTAATCTCGATTTGAATTCAAAATGAGCTTTATTGAATTTCACTCGGAAGTGAATTGCATATCCTGCGTAATTAAATTACCGATATAAATTGCTCATTTTTTGTTATGCTTATATACTTATGTGGTTGTACTAAGATTCTACTGAGCTGACATTGTAATGGCCTGAGCGATCGTGACCTAGTCTGGTAAAGTACGCCAGTCGTTTCGATTACCTTAAAATTGACGCCAAGTGAAACCCAATTTTTATAAACCAAGGCTTTCCAGAGCAGTGCAAACCTTCCACTTCATTTACCACCACCAGCGGAATCTGCGTTGAATATTGGGCTAGAGCGTTTGCGTTCATTCATACGATGCTAATTTATAAACATTCCGATGGCTTCGACTTATGATTTTTTTGCAGTAAAGCATTGTCTTCTAAAATGCGCAATAAATAATGAATTAGTTATACACAATAACGCAATGCGCTTTCTATCTATTGCCTAGGTGCGCCGCTCCTACTTAGTTGTATGAAACTAATTTTAGCCGTCCCTTTAGATGTCATATTCATCGAGGGTGTAATTAATTTCATTTTAATAAAGCTTTTGCCATAAGTGGTGCATACATATACAATGAGTATTAATTACTCCCACCGCCGAATTATGACCATATTTCTAAATATGTTGTACACGTCAAAATGTTAATTTCATTGTTTTTGCTCATTTTCCCTGTAAATAATTTGTCGACACCACAAATTCTAAAAGCTGCACGCTGCACAGCAAGAGACTAGGGATGTTGCGAATGTGGAATTTTAGACATTCGCGGATGCGGATGCGAATGCGGATGTCAAGTATTTTCCAGAAACAATTCGAATCTAGCTTAATGGTAGGATCGTTGTTTAAACAACGCTTACAAGCCAATCAAGCTGTGTCAGGTTTTTCTAAAGCGTTTTAACAAGAATTCTTCATTCTATTTCTTTGGCTGTTTCAGAATTTGGGGCTCTGAAACTTCATCAGCGACTTTCGATTTTAGTTTTTGTAAT